TGGATAGTGTTTTATTTGCCAACTTCATTCATTTTGCAGAAGGGTAGCCAGGAGTGTCTGCTGCAACAAAAGAAAAATGAAAACAGGATCTTGTGTCATCTTTAAGGCTAACACATTTATTGTGGCCTACGGTTTTGATTGAACTGTGGTTTATCATACGTAGAACGTATACAGCACTTTCCTTTTGAATGCTTTATCACAATAATGCTTCCAGATAGATAAACCAGATATTACAATTGAAACTATACCAATAGGCTGAATTAGACTTGCCTGAGGCTGCAGATTTTTTCTGCAATGAAGCAGCCACAGTTTGCTGGTCATTTAATTTCCAGGTATGGAGATGATTGTGGGAGTTCTGTGCTTCTGGGAATGTCTCTCTCACCTGCCAAGATAACTTGACCAGCCTTCAGCGTGTTCACCTTTCCAAGGGAGTCATTTGCTGTTCTGCCATAGGCAACAAAATGTCTTGGGCCAGCCTGGAATCTGGGTGTTGGAGTCTGAGAGACAGCGCCTTGCTGGGGCCAAACAGCAGAGAGCATGTCTAACTTTAGATTTGAACCAGAGGCTTCACACTTATAACTCACGCCCTTAACCTATGCAATATCAATTAAAAGATACAAGCAACAAGAAAACAATTTTATTATGTTAAGTAAGATCAATTGACCTTGATGAACCAACCAAGCCTGTTCTATTCTACTCTGAAAACTTTAGTTCATCAAAAATATATTTCTGTATACCTATATTTAAAAGAAATCTAAGAAATCAAGTTGCTAATATTTTAAAGTTACATTTTCCAGGCATGCTCTTCATGGCACCAGAATGGGTGGCAACAAATCAAGCTGGCTTGTGGTTGAAAGTAAATCTTGTGCATTCATATTTTCCAAGTTTTGTGGTGATACTTGAAACACTGAAAACAGTATTTTCTCAATGAAGCAACCCTCCACAAAGGGATGGTAAAATGGCCTGACAAGAAACATGGCACCATCCACACGTATTAAGTAGTCTAGAGAAAAATGAAGCTGGGTATGAAATGAAAATAAACTCTGACGCTATGGTTTAGAATATGGTGAACCAAATTAGGAATAACTGAAGACTTTGAAAATTGCAGGCATATGCACAGCACCAAACTAAGGACGTTTAAACAGACATAAGAGACAGTGTGTTTGATGGGTTAACTTTCTTGTAAATAAGTTTAGGATTTCAGCCTTACTGAGGCTTAATGGAAATGAAACCAAACCAAATAATGGAAATAAAACCAAACAACAGATGTGGAAAAGCTTATAAAACCATGTGCAATATCCACATAAGGAAGAGAAAGGGACATGTCAACACAACTGAGCAGATATGGAGCTATGCAAGTTTAAGAGGTAAATGGGTGATACAATAAGCTCAAGAAAGCAGCAGCACTACATAAAAAAAGATTCATGGAAAATAAACAGAATAGTATTGATGTTGAGATAATATAGCCAAGTACTATCCCATGGGGAAATAATGCTGTACTATCATTCCACTTACACTGTTACCCAGTCCAGGGACTGTGATCCAACTCACAGTACAGGCACGTTCACACTTCGTGTGATTTCCTATGGTAAGTTAGTTGCTCTGTGACAAGTCCAACAGACAATTGGGTTCACTGTGGGAAACTTGCTCCCTCCCTGTCCTTCCTTCAAGTGGTATCCCAGGTGACAGTAGGGGAACCTCCCTTCGTGGGAGCAAAAAAAAAAAAAAAAAACCCCAAATACAAAAACTGAGCAGGAGGACTTTGAAGGGCAGCCCCATGACTGTCCAAATGGGGAACAGGAAGGGAGCTGTCAAGCCAAGCACCTCAGTGACCAAAGAGGGGTTTTTAAAAATAAAAGATAAAAACAACAGCAAAACAAAAATAGGTCCACATTGCGATGTGGAAGGGGGAAAGGCAGTGCCAGCCACCTCTGAGTGCTGTTTGGGAAGAGCAGCAAATGGTTTCTTGAGCAAGTCAGTGGACATAGGCATTTACACTCAGCTGAAATATTTATCTGGGTTTGGGCAACATGAAACCACAAGGGGAAAATAAACCCTTGGACAGTCCACGGGTTCTCACTGTGGGTAGTTTGAAGAAAACTATGTATGATGAGTAAGCTGTGCTGCATTCACATGACATGACAACCAACTATTGCCTGCTATCTTTGGTTGTTGTGTTATGCAAATTCAGTCTACAACTTCATCTTTTGTAACAGGTCTCATTCTGCTTTACAGACTTCCATATTATGGACAGTATCTCCTCTGTCACTCTGTTCCGAAAGTATAAGTCAATGCCTCGTGCTGTTATGTAATTATTGCTCTGCTTTCAGCATAATCTAATTTCAGTTTTCATCATTAACATTCCACAGACTATGAGACCTTGACTGCCATTTGCACTATTCTCATGGTTTTCTCCAGTCACATTCAATTTTCTCAGTTCCATATGATGGACGTACACTTTGGCAAAAAGATTTTGAAAGTAATTTAGAACTTTAATTTAAAACGGAGAAATACCTATCTTAGGACATCCTGTAGACTTTTCAGTTTTTAACTGGTATACAGAATATTTAGTTCAACAAAAAGATTATACGGTTACAGAAACTTGATTAGTATATACAAAATACTGATGGCAGCCAACTATTCCTTTTCTGAAAGAATGGCTGGAAAAGATTCAGAGTACAAGTTAATGGCAAAATTAATGAATCAGAAAAAAGCTGAAGTCACATTATTGATATAATCCTTTATTAATTTTGGTACAACCCATTGCTTTCAAATGTTCAGAAACCATATTTTACACTGTTATAATTGACATCCTTTTGATCATCTTTACCAATAACTGCACGTAAAGTTATGTGAGTGATGAGAGGAAAACAGAAGAAATAGAATATGTTTGTTTACACTATGTTATTTCTGGTGAATTTTGTATGGTCCTGTTTACAACTGTATGTTTAACGCTTCTTTACAAAATGTATATGTGTTACTGTTCTTTTCTGGCAATACTTTTATTTATTTTATTCCTCTGGACCATCTGCATACTCACTCCCCTAACCCAACACTCTCCAGATCTCTCTTGAAAGAGATACAACATCCTTTTCTCTGCACCGTTTTCATGATCCTACAGTTTCTTGGGGATTTATGGTTCCAGTGCTGGTTTAAACGTTTATCTCACCATTTCATCCCTCTGTGTGCTTATTAGGATCATCTCCTAAACCTTTTAGAACCAGTTTACCTGAAGAGGCATACTGCTTGCCACCAAAGATCTTCTCTGGAGGCCTTTGAGTCTCCACCCCCACACCTAAAATGAGGTAAGGCATCTGGCCAGAGGGTAGGTCTTTGGCACAGCATGTCCTCCCCAGATATCTTACCAGGTTCTTTACATGGTTGCTTTTTGGGACCAATTGAAGACGCTTCCATTTCCTCAGCATTGTTTTAGTCTGATTATTGTTATTATTACATTGATTCTCTGTCTGGCCTTTTAAACTCCCATGAGGAAGCCAAGGCTGCTTGCACAGCTCCATTGTGTCCCCAGAACAAGCCTCTCAGGTGAGTTAGGCTGCACACGAGTGACTTTTTTTGTCACCTAGTGAGCTCCAGGACTGAGTGAAGAATGGAACACAGCTCTCTGGTCCAGCATTATACTAGACTGGCTTTCAAGTGATTTTTATATTTTGTCTACTATTTTCTGTTTATTTTATTATGATTTTAGCTGTTTTAGGTTTTATGTCCATGCACATGTCATGCTTTTAACTTTTATTTGAGAAACACAGGAAAATAATTAAGTAAAGGTACAGGAAGCCTGCCTTCTGTGGCATCTGATCGCCTTTATATCTGGCAAGTACTCCTATGCAACCCTGGGGAAAAACAGTCCTACTATCTTGCTAAGAGAGAGATCCTTGGGTCCCAACCCTCCTGAAAAGTCATACGACAATCTGTAGTTAATAGTTCCACTAACTTTGGAAAGACACTCTGTATAAAGCCTTCTTTCCTTGCCAGCTCACACACTCCAGAAGCGGAGCCCTGGCTCTGGTGCTGAATTTATTTCGGGCCAGCTGTTATGATCTGAAAGCCTGATGCTCTTTGTAGGAAAGGCAGAACCAAGTCAGATTCATTCTGCATGTTCTCAGAGGCACGCTTCTTTACATTACATGTTCCAAAGCTGATTGCGATGCAAGTTCTGGGATGTAAGTGGCCCCCTCCCCAGCCTTCCTACGCAAGCAGCAGCCTCTGCAGAAGGCACGACGACGGAAGAAGCAGCGGGAATCGACCTCGGTACTTCGCCCTCTCTCTCTCCCGTTGCTGGCCCAGCACTTTTCTCGCCGTCCAATTCCAGCCGCGGGGCGCGCGCGTGCGCGTGGACAGAGGCGGGCAGGCAGGCAGGAGTTTTGTTTGGCTCTGCTCGCCGGGGATGGGTGGGAGAAACGGAGGCGGGAGCGAAGGAAAGGAAAGGAAAGCGAAGGAGAGAGAGTTGCTCGCCGGCGCTCAGGCAGGACGGCGTCTCCTCCGGCTCGCTCCTCCTTCCCGCCCTCTAGGAAAACGGAGGGACGCGCCCCGCCGGGGAAGACCCAAGAGCCGAGCGAGGCGCGGCGCGGCGCGGCGCGTTCAACAGCCCTCTTCTCCGTGCCCGACGGCTGCTGTGGCGGCGGCGGCGTTGTCTGCCGGCTGCTGGCACGGGCAGTTCCTCCTTGCCTGCCTCTCCTGGGACTAGGATGAAGCGCGGAGCCGTCGGCTGAACCGGCTGGAGGCGAGCCGGCGAGCCGGGGATGCGTTGAGAGCGCGCCTGGACCGGCCCGCCAGCGCCCCTCGCTGCTCCGCGCACGGGCGCGGCGGCGGTTGACTTCGCCCTGGGCGTCATGGGCAGGCACGCGGGCGCTGCAGCGCCTCTCCGCGGGCGCGGCCCCTGAATCCTAACGCCTCCCCGCGCCCCCTCTCCCGAGGCCCTCTGCCTCCCTCGCCCCGGGGGAGGTGGAGGGGGCGTGCGGCGCTCAACCCGGCTCTGCCGAGGGAAAATGCTAGCCGGGAGCTTGCTTGCCGGCTTCTCCGTGCTCAGCCTCCTCACCTACGGCTACCTGGCCTGGGACACGGTGGGGGACCCCGAGAGCGGCAGCAGCCCGACGGCCAAGTGGGAAGGAGGGCCCGAGGCTGACCCCTCCCCTGCCTCCCAGCCTCACCTCATCTTCATCCTGGCGGACGACCAGGGGTTCAGGGACGTGGGCTACCATGGCTCCGAGATCCGGACGCCCAGCCTGGATAGGCTCGCCGCGGAAGGAGTTAAATTGGAGAACTACTATGTCCAGCCGATGTGCACGCCGTCCAGGAGTCAGTTCATCACTGGAAGGTCAGGGCTGCATTCGTGTGTTTGGGGTGGCGGTGGATGGGTATTGGCCTGGTTTCGCTCACCTCCAAAACAGCATTCGTCTATCATCTATTTATCTTCTGTGTTTTGTCTCACAGACTACTTCTAACATTTCGTACCCGGGCGTACGCACACACGCGCGCGCGCACAGAACATTCGCATAAGTCTGGTGGCGCCCGATACAGGGAGTGGATTTGCCGCACGGTCCTGTTTCCTCCCAAGTCAGCCCTGCTGAGTGCAGTGGCACTTACTTTCAGGAAACTATAAGATTGCACGCTCCGTGTGATGAAGGCTTTCATGGACTGGGGCATCTGATGAAATAAGCACTTGAGGAACTTTTAAAACCAAGGGCTACAAGCCTCTCTCTCTCTCTCTCTCTCTCTCTCTCTCTCTCTCTCTCTCTCTCTCTGTGAGTGAGTGAGTGAGTGAGTGAGTGAGTGAGTGAGTGAGTGAGTGGCAGACTTAGCACAACTACCCCCTCTAATTGATGACATCGTTTGAAAAGTTTATGCTTAATTGAGGTTTCAGAAGGAAGTGGATTAATTGAACTGAAACCAAAGTGCCTGTTTTTAAATTATTTGGCATTACCTGCTTCATAATATTATATTAGCAGTTGATTTACATGGATAAACATAAAGGCTTGCCACTCCCATTGTGTAGATCCTACCAGCAATGAGCATACGCCTTAATCTGTTTTTATTAATACAGCTCAGGAGGAGGGAAGATCAGGGGCTTTGCAGTGGAAGGTTCTCATGTGCAAACTTCCCAACTGTTTGGAAAGCAAACTTTCCAAGTGAATGAATGAACACTCAAGTTGTTCCATTTTGTTGCCATCTGCAAGTTTGAATTCTCATTGTGAGTCATCAGAATATCACTGTACTGATGATTACAATTGGCCAGTGGTAAAAATTTCAGTTGAGAAATGGCAGCCCAAAAAGGTTAGTTTTAATAGAAATCTATGACACTTTTGACAAGTTCTTACATGATTTACATTACCTGTGCAGTGGCATATGACCAACTAACATAATATGCTTGTTCTGATGCTATAATTTGTCATAAGACTGCATGCATTAAAAATAGCTGTGATTCTCATTTCATACCATACTCACAAGTTTCTTTTAAGCTGGCCAAGTGCTGGTTCAAAAATATGTCCATGAAATTGTAAATCGTGTTACAGTTGGAAGTACAGTGTGCAGAACTCCCACATATCAGGCTCCAGTTAATCTGATTTGATCAACGTTGCTATGAATTTTATATTTTATCATGTTGTGTTCTACAGTTTTAATTGTTGTGACCTGCCCAGAGAGCTTTGACTATTGAGCAGTACAGAAATCTATTAGATAAATTAATGTGCCTCCTCTGTAGAATTATATAAATGGCAACAAAATTATCCAAACCAATGGCTCACTAAAATTGGATTATGCCTTCATGCCTTACAGATAAAAATCAGTGCAGTGCCTAACGTAAACCTTTTTCTTTATATAAATTTGAAATAAATTCAGTGAAATGCACTGTCACCAAAACAGTTAAAATCAAGCATAATATTCTAATGATTAAATGTACAATTCATTTCACAACATTTATCACTGATTCTAACAATGACATACAATAGGTTGCTATTATTCCTGTTTTACAGTCCATCACCCAACATGATTTTATCCACTGGGCTTTCGGGATCAAATCCAATATGGAGGCTGTGGAACCCCAAACTCTGTCAGCCACATGCATTGTTAGGGCAATTGGCTTACAGAAGTTGCACATTTGAGAGATGTTTCTCTTTACAGATTTGATAAAGAGCAGACTAGAATTAAGTTTATTGCTATGACTCCTAATCTAATTTTCTAATTCTAGAGTGATGAGCATAGTCCTGTCAAGAAGTCAATAACACTTATCTCATCAACTGTTACTTTTAATGTGGCTGTCACTTGCATATTCCAAAAAAATAATGACATGGTCCTAGCCACAGATTTGCAGTGTAATAAAGCATGCCACATACAGGAACTTCTTCCAATTGTGTACAGTCGCAAAACAAAATATCTCCTCTTTTATCCAAAAATGGAATCTCCCACCCTGTGAATACTTCAGTACTTCTATTATCTTACTTTTTGCAGGCATGTTTGAAAGGTTTGTTTCTGTTACTGAAAACCATGTCACTGAAAAGTCAGCTTGGTATCTTTGCACCTGCATGTGTGGTGCAGAGCACCAGACATCTGATGACCCATGAAAGTCAGCATGGTGCATGAATGTAAAAATCTACCTTCTCTTACATTAGTATTAGCAAGGTTATTTTCACAAAATGGAAAGTGTTCTTCTGTTAGAACAGCTGGAAGCAAAGTGTGAGCCAGAGTTCTGGAGTAAATGCTCTGCAGACCAGACTTACAGTTCACAGTCTGGTAGGCAGTCTCTTCATCCTGCGTGACAGTAATTCATTCATCTGGCTACGGAGTGCTTTTGTCTAGGGTTGAGGAGCTAAGTGCTGATCTGACCCTGTTACATTTGCAGAAACTGGAACATCATCAGGGCTCAGTAGAGAATAAACCAACTGAAGTCCAAAGGAACATAGATTGCCAATCTAGATTGCTAACTATAAAGCACATGCTGTTTAAATTAGGGAAGAGAACGAAAAGAGAAAAAAATGGATCAGTCAGTAGAGGGTGTTGTGCTTTTTAAAGTAGACTGGGCTGAGAATGATTCTGAAAATCGAGTTGCTGTATTTTTGGAAATGATTTTGGAAATGAAAGCTGAGATTTCCCTGCACTTCATTCTGATTTTCTTCAGTCTGTTAGGATTCAAGCTTCTTTTCCCCCTCTTTTACTTTCAGAGCAAGGCACAATCCATGAACAACCAAAAGAAAGGGAAAAAGAGAGAAGAGAAGGTTGGTTCATGACTTAGTTGTGTTTACAGGAGACCTACAGAGAGTACTGAAACAAGTTAGTCATGTCTAGTTTACATCCCATTGACTTCAGTTGGTTTACTTTCAACATAACTAAACTGGAATCAAACTGAGTATAACAATTTGGTTGGGGAAAGCTTAACCTGAGCGATTTAAAAATACAAAATATGATCTTTCTTCATTTGTGTGAATGACAGACAAGGATAAAAAGAGAGCCATTGTGGTGTAGTGGCTAGAATCTTGGATAGGAACTGGGAAGATCCAGATTCTAGTCCCCATTTGGCCAGGAAGTGATTTTGGGCCAATCACTTGCTCATAGACTAACCTACCCCAAGGGGTTGTTTAATGAAACAAATGGGAAGAAAGATGACTGTTCCTTGCAAGAAAAAACAGTAGATAATAACTAAATAGTTAACATTCTTCCATTCCTTTACTTCCTTAATCAAGACAAATTAAGATTACTTAGATAGAAACAAAGCTAGTCGGAAGGGACCTCCTGGGCCATCTAGTCTGACTCCGGGCTTCAGCTGGCTTCACTCATGAAATGCCTACCATGTGCATGTCCAGCCTGTCCTTGAACACCCTCACCAGTGGGACTTCAACCAGCATCCATACCCTTGGGATCCTAACTGTCAGGAAGTACTTCCTGGCTTCCAAATTGAACCTTGGTTCCCTGAGCTTTTCTCGATTGGAATGCAGAGGAAAATGGGTCTCTACCCACCTCCATGTGACACCCCCTCACATACCTATATGTTGCAAACAGATCCCCTTGGAGTGTCCTTCAGACTGAAAAGACCCAGTTCCCTCAGTCTTGCCTCATGTGGCTTTCCCTGCAATCTGGCCACCATCCTTGTGGCCTTACACTGCACCAATTCCAGTCTGGCTGTATCCTTCCTGTAATGTGGACTCAGAACTGAACACAATATTCCAGTTGCGGGCACACCCGAGTTGTATACAGTGGCAGTAATTCCTCTCTCAATCTAGAAGCCATGCTTCTGGCTATGCGACCAACGGTGGTGTTTGCCCTCTTGACTGCCTGTCACAGTTTAGCCTGCAGTCAACCAGTACCCTGAGATCCCTTTCACAAGTGCCACTCTGACACTCTCCAGCCAGTTGTCCCCTAACCTGTATTCATGACACCCACAGATGTTTTGATTTATTCAGTTATCTGATCTATAACAAGTTGAAATTCCTACGTACAATAAAGTCAAACTACAGTAAACATATATGATGAAATTCACCCACGTTAAAAGGATCGTGCCACTAAGATCAACCTCAACATATTCTTGCTGATGTATAGTAAATTCAAGAGAGTGCCTTAGAGTGAGGAGGATGAAGGAATGTGGATGATATATATTGTGGAAAAGCAAGTATGTAAAAGAAGATAATTATCACCTGTAATTGTGCTTTAAAAGGATCCAATTTAAAATGCTACAATTTGTGCTCCCTTGCAGAGAGATGAAGTTGCTAACATTTTACCAAACAATTAACTAGGGTAGTCCTGTATGGAATGCACTCCTGTTGTATTGTGATATTGCAAAGAGTGTAGCTTTGGCAACAAGGTAATGTTGTATTATTTCCCTTCTACCCCCCTTTATGGATTGAATTTCTTGGTACAGCAATGGATCCCGAAAGGTCCCAGTGTTGCAGAACCTTGTCATCTCACTGAAAGGACACTGAAAATGATTAATAGCAGACATTATGTTTTCACAAGCTGTAAATCCATTATACCTGGACTCAATTCAAATTGACTTGTCTACTTTCATTTCCAGTCATCAGCAGAAAAACTGTGTGCTGTAAAACCTGGCTGGTCAAATTAAAGGGAATGATGATATTAAAGATGGGGGCAACCTGGTCTCCACAGGTATTGTCCATTCTTATGACTTCCCATCCAGCCTGCCAAAAATAGAACTATTAAAGAGGAGCCCGTGAATGTGGCAACAGAGCAAAAGCAACTAGTGGACATCTTACGATCAATGATTTCAAAGGCTGTTTGAAGCTCTAATACCAGTCAAGTGTAAACATATAATGGCCTTGTGGTGACTTTCCTTGGTAATGAGAATTTGCTGCAGTCTTCCAAACACTAGTA